GCATAGCTTTGTGTAAGGTATTTGTCAAAGAAGACTGGACATGCCGTCATCAGAGCATAGGCACACTCATCACATAGAATGATAGAATCAGGTTGGAAAAGACTTCAGAGATCATCTAGACCAACCATCCACTTATCACCAATTCTACCCACTAAATCATGTCCATTAGTACCACAATTATACTTTCCTTCATCACCTCTAGGGATGGTGACTCCACCACCTCCCTGGGCAGCCTTTCTCAATGCCCAGCCACTCTGAGAAGAAATTCTTCCTAGTATCTAATGTGAGATCCAACATGAGCAAGGGAAGCTTGCAGGATATTCATGTGTGGGGGTGAAGGGGATGTAGAGTTGCAGTAACAAAATCAGCAACATGAATGGGCTGCATGATTCTCAGCCTATCTCCAAAACCTGCTGCTATGAATAAGGAAACGGTCTCCTGTGACTGAAGCATAACCTCATATAAATAAAAAACATTTTATCAAACATGCATCCAGTGCAGTTTTTTTTTCTTTTTTTTTCTTTTTTTTTTTTTTCCTAAAGTGAAATAACAGTAGGATTTTGCTTGGACTCTTTTTTTTTTTTTTTTTTTTTTTTTTTTTTTTTTCCTGCTGTGAACTGATTATTAACAGTATATATTCTAACTCAAATGCTAATGAAACTCCCTTTGATTTCAATTTAGGAGATATTTGGTCTTGAAAGGCTAGTTAGTAAGGCTATTGTTCCCTACACTGGGTAAATAATATTAAACAAAGTAGTATGCACATGTTATTTGTATATTGGTTAATACACTAACAACACTAGTGATTTTGGGGGTTATTTTTTCTGTCAATAATTATGTAATTACTTGCATACTTTTTTTTTTTTTTATTAAGAATATGACACAACTGTTTAACTGTAGGAGGACTTAAAGCTGGAGTTGATGCTGCATGCTCATTCTAGTCATTGGTGCCTAAATATCACAGTACGCTTAATATATAATGTCATACATACTGATGTGAGCATAATGTACTGCTAGTAGCTCAGCAGAATGGGAACTTCGTACTGATGAAATGTCAGTCTTAATTTCTGATTAACTTCGCTGTGGGCATTTCATGTCAAAACCAGAACTGTCCAAATACTGCAAAATGCTGTGCATATAAATCCTTTCATTTCTTTCACATGTTGTAGATGCACAAGTGTTCTTTCTTTATAGTCTTTCAGAGATGTTAGGGGGCAGACATTGTGAAAGGGATTTCACCATTTTTACTCCCTTTAAGCAGTGGCTAAAAATATTGTCATTAAGTAAGACTGTAGTTAAACTGGTCACACTGGAAAAGGGATTCTGAAGTTGGGGTTTAGCAAAGGGAGAAATGAAACACGCTGGTTGGGGTCATTGTTAAACTATTCAGCATTTGCCTTTTAAATACATATTGAAACAGTGATTCTACTGACACCTCACCATCTTTGTTACCCTTCTCTGAACATGCTCCAGACTCTCAATGTCTTTCTTGTAGTGAGGGGCCCCAAACTGAACACAGTACTCAAAGTGTAGCCTCATCAGAGCTGAGAGGGACGATCACCTTCCTAGCTCTGCTGGCTACACTATTTGTGATACAAGCCAGGATGCCATTGGCCTTCTTTGGCCACCTGGGCACACTGCTGGCTCATGGTTAGCCAAGTGTTGATCAACACTCTCAGGTCCATTTCTTTCACACAGTCTTCCAGCCACTTTGCCCCCAGGCCCATAGTGTTGCCTGGGGTTGTTGTGACCAGAGGACCTGGCACTTCGTTATGGCAGTTGGATGCTGCTTTCTGTCCCATCACTTCCCATCTCTATATGAGTTCTGACACCTGCACACAGCTGGGAGAACTGCAGGAGTTTTCTTACCCCTGTAATACACCATATTTTAGGGGCTGAAGGGGCAGTGAGCCTGGGCAGGACTTCAGAGTTATGATTAGTGGGCAGTATTGGTCATAGGTAGATGGATGGACTGGGTCATCTTGGAGGTCTTTTCCAGCCTTGGTGATTCTATGATTCTGTAAGTTAATAAGTCATCCATGGGTTAAATTATGATTTTGGATAAGGTTGTTTAGAAACTTTAAAACTGCTCAGAGAAAGTTTATGGCCAGAAAAAGCAGAACTGTATTTAGTGGAAACTGCTTATAAGAAATTCTCTGTGCCTTACATGTCAAGATAACTTGAAAGTCTGCTCAAAATAACTGGAAGAGTTGTGTGTTTTTTTTTTTGACAGAAATAAAGAGTCTTATTCTCTGGTTTGATTGCCTTGGCCAGGGCAGAGAGAGCCCACCAGGATGCCTGAACTTGCTGCCAGGATGGGTGGCTGAAAGCCACCAAATGCATTTTCCATGTGGCCATCTGTTGCCTGCCAGCTTAGAGCAAGGCAGGGCAGACTCTGGCACAGTGGTGAGCTGTTAGTTCTTAGATTCCTGCAACATTACGAGTGATCCAAACTTTTCACTTGTTATGGCTGAAGCTAAGATTGTAGGTTGTTTGGAAACCAGACCAAAGTTCTGAGAGTGTGATTTTTCTTGGGGTTCTCTCTCATGCATCTCTTCTTTTTTTTCTTTTTCTTTCATTCCTCATATAAAAGATTTTTCATTTTTGACAGGATGTCTTCTTAAGACACTCTGAAACTGTGTTGTATATTCCTAGATGGACCTAAATTGTTTGAGTGAAAAGCCTGCAACATTACTTGGATGCGAGGATGTGTGTTGTATTTAAAATCCCATGAATAGAGTAACATTGTATATATGTGATGGTTGCTTTGGAAATGGTAACCAAAATGTTAATAATAGCTTTGTTCATTCTTTTAGTTGTTAATGATAATTTTCTAAGCCATAAAAGTTTCAGGTTACTGTATATTAGAAAGGAAATTATATAATTTGAAATTATAATTGGGAAACGTTTGATGGATCTGGTTATAGAATAACAAATGAGAACAATTAATAGAAAGTTAATTGGGTAACATCAGAAAAGTTTATCTACTATATTGGGATTGCATGCTTCAGTTGATACTTAGTGTACTTTTGGGATTTCTGGTTGCACCACACCTCTGGTTCTGATAGTATATTGTATTATGAAGAATATTAATAATGCTGCAGAACAATTACTTGTTCATTTGCTAACTGATTAAAGTTCATGCATAATTTATTGGAACAGGGAGAGACTTTATAAATAAGTCTCCTTGTCCTCAAGAGCTTAAAAACAAAATGCATATGCTAATATAAGAATACACTTTACCTCTTAACATAAAAATTTAATATGCAATGGTATATTAGTTTCATTAATATGAGGTTTTATTTGTAATAATCATGCTCTTAATCAAAATATATACTTCTAAGCATAGCTTTATGTTTTAGAGGTTTATAACTTGGAGCTGGTAGTGTTTCATGCTCATCAACATTTATGTTTTCTACTGTAATATACTCTGACCTTAGAATTCATTAGTTTGACATTTAATGTGTTAGTTTCACAGCAAATAAACTGCCCTCATTAAGCCCAGTTGCATTTCTGAGCCTTGATGCAGTTAGGGATTTGAATTAGTTCATATGCACTCTTCTTGCCAAAACAGAGTAAAACATATAAATAATTAATTGTGATACTTACTAGGGTTTTGTATATCCTGAAGCTGGAATTTAGATACCTTGGAAGATGCACCTTTTCACTCTGAGAGGATAAAAGGATCTCTGCTTGTGACCATTATAGTGTATTCACAGGTTCCCTGTCTCCAAAATGTGGCAAAATGTGGTGAAGCCAGTTAATTGCAGAGTTAGTAAATACACTGTCATGTCTTGAAGGAAATCTTCAGTACTGGACCTAGAGAACTTGGGAGTTCCAGCTTGACCTTCACCATACAGTGAGGGTGGGATGGAAAAGGAAGGCTTGGAGACCTTCTGCAAGTTCTTCTCAATCATCACTCTTCACATGCTCTCTAAGTGACATTGGTAAGGTTGTTCCTGGGAGGCAGAATATATGCAATACTTCCACATTAACCTCTCTTGTTTGGAGAGGTGAGGGACAATGATAGTGAGAAGGGCCAAGACCTAGGAAAAGGTCTTAACTTTGGTCCAAAACTTTGGATCTGGGGCTCTTTTTTCTAATATACGGCCATGAGATCCTTTACCTGCTCAGAGTTGCTTCTGCGTCGCTGCTGTGTGAAACCCCTGTGTGCATTAAATTCAGTATTGTTGCCTAATTAACTGAAACAAATTAGTTAAAATATGAGCCATCTGGATGAAGATGAACCTTCCATGTTTATCAGTGGATTCATTTTAATAGAGAAATAGATGTTGCGGGTGACTGTTTTTTTTTTTAAATCATTCTTAGGCAATGTCCTACTTTACGTATACATTTCTCAGGGTAAGGGAGATTTCACTCTCCATTTGGTCTGTTGCTATCTTCTCACATAGCAGCTGTCTAAATTTTGGGGTGGAAAGTGCTTCAATGAGAGGAAAACAAAAGCCAGTGTACGTTTTATTGTTTGAATTCCTAAATCAGCAATAAGTTATCTTGGAGTAAAATAATGAAATAACGTGGTTGCAGTTTTGCTCAGCTCTGAACATTCTGAAAGCCAGTAATAGGTAGTTGTATCTTTCACCATAACTGCATCTGGCAGACTTTAGATAAATTGCAGTGATGGTGAGTTAGTGTATGTATTATAACCGTTTCTTTAACGGAAGTATGCATGTGGTTTCTGCTAATAAAAGAATAGCAGTTATTTTTTAAAAAACTCAAATTATTGCTGTAGGAAACAATATGAATAATCTGAGACTTCTAACTGGAAAACATAATGTTGGTCAGATACTGGTGGTGTGCCACTAGCCTCTAAGAGCTGAAATCCTCTTCAGCTCTTCTTCACTTGATGTTGGCTTGATTTTGCTTTCAGCTTTTAAATCTTTGCAGACCAAGACCCGGAAGCTTTTCAGTGGAAGGAGACCTCCTCTTAATGTTTCATCGCTGATTTTTTTTTTTTTTTTTTTTAATTGTCTCCCACACAGAGCCTCCTCGACCAATAGCACCTCCACAGTTGCTGGGCGTTGGACCAACATATTTGCTAATTCAGCTCAATGCAAATTCAATTATTGGTGATGGACCCATTATTCTGAAAGAAGTGGAATATCGAATGACATCTGGGACCTGGACTGAAACCCATGCCGTCAATGCCCCAACCTACAAACTCTGGCACTTGGATCCGGACACTGAATATGAGATTCGGGTGTTGCTTACCAGACCAGGTGAAGGTGGCACCGGGCAGCCAGGACCACCGCTCATCACCAGAACCAAGTGTGCAGGTGAGTGCTGCTCAGAAAAAAATAAACCAAAAATCTCTGTTTAATTGTTTTACGGGTCTGTTAGTTTCTAATTAACTTGTAGCAGAAATTAAGGATTCTTTAGCATGGAGAGGATCCTAAACTTTCCAGGAATCCAAATTTTGTCTGAATATGGGCGTGCTGCATCCACTGCTTTACTTGGCCGCTGTCTCTCTTGATGAGCGCTAACTGTGGGAGGCAGGTTAGCAGGTGGGATGATAGAAAGCTAAGAAAACTTCTCTTCATGGAAGAAAAGAGACCTCATCATTTCTGGAAAGGACAATCAACCTCCTTTTTCACCCTTCACTTGCGTTGTAAATCAACTTTAACATAAAGGAACTTGCATAAAAATATTATCTGTTAAACAAATAGGATTTTACAAAAAAGGTAGTGTCCTGCACTATCCTTTTTCCAAACAGATATGCAAGGTCTGCCAGAATCTCTAACAGTTTCTAAAGTACACGTGCAAATATCACTAGGAATGCCTTCTCCATTTTTTACCTACTACCACCAAAAACATGTGTTGCTGTCTTTCAGTCTGCTTCTGTGTTTTTTTCTGAGTGCCTCTGTATGGCCAGCGCCAAGAAGATTAAGCACTGCCAACTTGTGTTATATGCTCTTCCTTACAAAGCTACTTAGAGTTATTTTAATCTCAATTTTCATAAAAAAAAGATAATGCCTACCTCTCATAGTTGCAGAGGAGAAAAATTAGAGGTTTGAACATCAGACTGGGAAGTAAATAAAAGGAAACTTAAATTGTGGGGTTTTTCTTCTAATCTTAAGATTTATAGGGTCTGACTTACAGATTTTAAAAATTTACACTTTAGTAGCTTTAGTGAAGGTGCTGATAACCATCTATTCAAAACTGTTAAAATAGCAAGAAATAGGAGCTTCGGTGGCAGATTTCCAACTGTCATATATACATAGGCATATGTAAGATAAAATGTTTTTTTCATAGTTTGGTCACAGACCTCAGATGGACAGCTATTCAAATTCGCATTTAATCACTTATGACCATTCATTTATCTTATTTGAAGAAGAGAGTCAATGTCTAGATCACAAGCTAATACTTCAAGTCAACTAGGTCAGTAAGTATGAATCCCTTGAAAATTAGACAGTCTGTTTTGAAACTGGGCAAAATCTTGTCAGAAGCTGAGGCACACTGTTCATTTAACCCTAACCAATAAGCTTGCAGCTGGAGCAAGATGAAACTGAAGGCGTTTTTGAATTTTTTTGATCTTATTTATAATTTAATCTCTCTTTCCTGTGAAGTGAAAAGATATTTTTGTCTATCCCAGTTAAGATGACAGTTGTTGAGATCTAAGTAAAGTTAGGCATTGATTTATGGTACTGAATTGTTTTAGACAGTCTTCTGAAACAGTAGAAATTTGAAAACATCTTCTATTTTAAAGAGTTTGAGCCAAAATGAACAAATCCCAAATGTTTGGATTCCTTTTTCCCAGCACTTGAAAAATATTTCATTTACCCGGTGAGTGACAGACAAGAGCTTTTAAATGAGAAAGGAAAAGAAAGGAGATCATGATTTGCATGAGACTTGACATATTTTTAGAAGCAACTAAGGGGAAACTTTATTGTGGAGTCTGTAAATTAAAAACCTGCATGTAAGACACCAACATCTAGTCTGACTTGAGACAAATTTTCAACTCAATTTAATCCTCTCTGAAATGTATCACATTAAGAAAAAAAAAAAAAGAAAAAAAAAAAGCCACCATTAAAAAATGTGAACTTTCATGGTAACATTGTTTTAGTAACAGTAAGATTTTGCACGGTTTACCTTGAAGTAAGATGGGTTCTTCTTATTCCAGGAAAGCAAAAATGAATAAATATCACTATTAACTAGTTTCAGTTAGAGGGTGAGTCAGCAGGGATTTGTGGAGGCAGGAGCACTGAGCCCAGCACCACAGGACAACTCACACAAGGCATCAGGTTGGACATTGGGTCACCCTGCTGCCTTCTCTCCTGGCTGGAATACGCGGGCAGGCATTCCTTTTCCACAGTGCTCTCCCAAGACTTTTGTAGATAATTGCAAACCCGAACTGATATAAATTTTATTTTTAAGAGTTTGTTCTTAAAAGGCAAATGGTAAAAGTCTTTTCTGAAGAGAAGATTTTTAAGAAAAGATAAAGCTAAGAATTGAATAACTAACACTGCAATCTCTTCTGATTTTGTACTTGTGACTGGCAGGTGATTTACTGTAATATATTAGATGACATTCTCTGTGGCAATCTCTTCTTTCTGGAGATTCTTCAATTATTCCTAATCCTTGTTACTGACAAGATCATTTATTTTTCAAACAAATACTTTTTTTCTCTGTGTTCTTTGTCAGTTTTGTATTTCTACAAGTTGTGTAGGTATTAGTTCAAATTCTGAAACAAATTATAATTGATTATCTGATCAGTGTCAAGTGAGGTAGAGAGAAATAAATGAATTTTCAACATGAAGTTTGACTGCTCTCTATGCAGATTAAAAGGCACACATTAGTGAACATTGATCTGATGAGTTGTTAGTGTTCATGTTCCAAGTACCGGTAACAGCTAACTCACTGACATATCAATAGGAATAGGTTAGTATTCTGCTTCTGTTTATTTAATACCTAAGTAAATATTAGCGTTATTTTTGAATGAAGATTGAAAATGATTTTCCACAGAATTCATTTAGTTTTTATAATTTCGGGACATTTGGTAACAACATATTATTGATTAGTTAGCTTGTGGTTTGCTGGAGATGTATCCTACTTCTAAACAATTTAAGCAATGACTGTTTGTATCCTTGTATCAGACATGCACGTTTATTATTAAGTATTTTCATCACTCTCCATCTTCCTCATGGCAAGAACAGTGTCTAGTGACTTAGTGAACGTTTCCAGTAATACCAAACAAAATGGTTTTCTAATGAAGGGATAATTCTTTCAATAGTTAAGTCTTCCAGAAGCCTATTAATCTAACTGCAATTTCCGAAGTAATATTTCTTTATGCTGAAGCTACACGGCTGTGTTTTGCTAGATAACTTGCACGCTGTTTTGTCAGTTTGCAGTCCTATATCCACAATTAAAGATAGTGCTGAGCAATGAAATGTACAAAACAATAGAGTGTCCTTAAAGGATTGAAGTGAGCTTAAAACATGTTAAACAAACCATCATTCTCCTCCTTAAGAGCCAGGTATAGTCTTTGTTCTTCCATATTTTTGAGCACAGACAAAATTTGTGCTGAGCACAGCATTGTGTGCCCGCGTGTGCTGTTTAAAAATAATCAGGAGCTGCTGATGCTGGAGTCTACATCCTTCCAGTTGCATCTCGTGGTGCACCCAAGCTGGCAACGATGCCTGCACCTCTTGCCTGCTGTTGTTCCTGTAATTATTCACTTCTTAAGCATTCTAAAACCAAAGGCAAGGGTAGCATTTTCTTTGCAAGTAATTCTAAGGTAGTTTTCTGTGGCTACTTTGTTTTGAGAGTGGTTGGATTTTTTGTTATTTATTTATTTATTTATTTATTGAGTAGTATGTCTGAGTTGTGATTGTATACCCTGCCTTTCCTTTGGGGAGCTGTAGAAAATATGTTGTAATCTAAAATTGTCCGCTTAGGCTGCTTTATCAACTGTAAGTTATAAGTTATTCTGTTACATTTGCTACTGCTTCTGAGTAACAGCTAACAGCTTTATGATTAACCGATGTTTTAGTAGCAAAGGAGGTCAATAGTTCAGCCTGTCCAGAGCTTAATATATGTACACAGCAGAATTACTCGCTCTTGCTCTACAGAAGTTTAGTGCAAGGCTGTGATTTTCAGTAAAATGTGAAGAATTGTAGAGCCGTTGGGGGAAAGTCCTGTTTTTGTTGTGCTTTTTTTTTTTTTTTTTTTTCTCTCCCAAATGGTTTGTTTATAATAAACTGTTACATGTATTAGTTTTAAATAATAATAGATGGACAGGAAGCTTTACACTCAAGATGATTACAGCTTAATCAGAGCTGCAAATGGAATAGATATTGATGCTTGTTATTATTATTATACTATTGTTCACAGTAGCTAGCAGTCACATAGCCCTGGCTATCATTAGCAGTCAGCCCACAGACACAGGGGCACAATATATGTTCCTGAGACCCATCTGCAGGTAAATGCTGGGGAGCTGGGCTGCGCTCTGTCCCCCTGCTTCAAGTGCAAACGGCTCATCTGCAAATGTGGGCAAACACTGAAAAACAAAAGTAAGCTTAAGGGGTTGCTTTTTATTTTCTTAGGTTGTTGGGGTTTTTTGTTGTTTGTTTTGGTTTTTTTTTCCCCTACAGTAAGACCCCTGCAATGTTGACACTGATAAACTGACTTTTCATGGCCATCTGGAGAATTAAAATGTTGTTCTGGTTCCATGCAAATTCAGTATGATTTTTGGAATGAGGGGAGTGAAAGGCGCGTGGCAGAATAAAATTCACTTGTGCTGATATGGGATGTATGCAGTGCTGCTTAGGTTTGGGCTGTTTGCCTTCTGCACTTTTAGAATGAAGGTGGAGAGTTCAAGGCAGGAAGCTTGATTTATAGCCTTTGCTGTGTGCTGTGCTTGAGAGCTCAGTGTAGTGGTATGGGAGGCAGTGGACTTGGGAAACCAGATACAGTCAGCATCAGAGATGGGTTCTGAGCATGTAAGATGGGCTGTTCATTTGTGTCTTGAAGCAGTTCATTTTAAATTCTTATTTTAGTCTTTCAAAGCTAATAAAGGTACAGAAAGATGTGTAATTCCCAATAATTTATTTAAAAACTAAGAAATTAAGTGAACAGAGAGAATATTTACCTTTACAGCAGAAGGTTTCAGACAAAACCTTACGTTTTTAACCTCACAATTGATATTATTAGAGATTTACAATACAGCTGAGAGTAGAGTCTAAATACAGAGTGCTTAAGTTATATATTTTTATTATTCATATTTCTGTTGTTTACAAGCTGAACATTCTTCTAAAATGTGATACTTTAAAAAAATATA